TGTTCAAGCACTGTTAGGCGGAGACTGCTTTGTGCTGGGCGGCCAGCTAGAAAGCCCACCAAGAAGCAACTTTTGACAACAGCTATGAAGAGAAAAAGATTGGAATGGGCCAAGGAATACAAGCAATGGATCAAAGATGACTGAACAAAGGTATGATGTGAATTGTTTCAAATAATCTGTGTAGTAAGTCTTTTTTTTCGTCTGTCCTTCTGCAAGCACTTTTGAGGATTATATTGGTAATCCTCAGTTTACTATGGTAAAAACATTTCTAACCCAATATCAAGCTTTTTAATCACTTAATTTACATATTTGCTTTATTTGCAGGTGATATTCTCCAACGAGTGTCATTTTGAGTTCCAAGGACAGCGGTCACAGTCAAACATCTGAATAAGAAAATGTTTTGAGAGTGTTTCACAGCAGCTGGCCCTGGAGCACTTTAGTCTGTGACTGGCATGATGAATTCCGATGGCTATGTCAATGTTCTGATGAGAAAACTGATACCAGAGATGACGAAGCAGTTCCCTGACGGTGAAAGGATGTTTCAGCAGGACCTAGCACCGTGTCACACATCAAAGAAAGTCACCAAATTCCTTGAAGACAGCAAAATTATTACTCTAAAATGGCAAGGCAACTCACCTGATATTAATCCCATATAGAATTTATGGGGTATAGTTAGGAAGAGACTTAGAACTCGCGACTGTACCAGTAAACCGAAGCTGATAGAGGCTATCATGGAAATCTGGTTTCACAATGAAGAATTGAAGAACTTGTGTCAAACTTTGGTGTATTCTATGTCACAGCGTGTGCAAAGTGTAATTGCATCACAAGGAGGACATATTAAGTATTAGATATGAACTGTTATTACCAAAACTGTAATAAACTAAGTTTTACAGTTGTTTTTAGCTTGATGCAATTAATTTGCACAATACTGTACGTTGGATCAACCTTGGGTTTAGATCGTAAAAACAATCATTTTTTGCAATATTTTTACATACATTAATTCAGCGTTAATTTATACACATTAAATCAACGTCGGGTTAATTATTTGTTAAATTTAATTAACATTGGAACAACGCCGGGTTAATTATTTGTTAAATTAAATTAACATTGGAACAACGTTGGGTTTACATTGTAATAACAATCAACTTTTTGCGATATTTTTAAATACGTTGAACCAATGTAAATATGCCAGCTGTTTTTAGTTCCGTAGGTATTTATTTCATCATTAAACAAATGACATTGGATCAACGTTGGTTTTGTATTGAAAAAAACAACCAACGTTTGCGATGGTTTTACATACGTTAGCCCACCGTAAGTGTGCCAGCTGGGTAATTACTAACTAATAGATAGTATGTCCACTGTTAGTTGTTTGTGTCTTTGGAACATTCTTCTACATCAAAGTTTTAAAAAATCACTCTTTGTTCTTTTAAGTTCCATAACTGAAACAATTCTCTTAATACTGTTGCAATATCCGCTGGCAGTTCTTCCATTGATTGTGAAAAGTTAATTTTTTTTCTCCTTCTATCATACACTGAAAAAAGTTTAAACAAAGAGTAGTATATGTGCAATCACTTCGTTTATAAAAGATTTCTTTTGTGTTGCCAGTAACTATTTTAATACCAATGAAAAGCAATTTTTTTTTTCTTTAAATAAGAAACACTTTTTGTAACTCCTACAATTATTGTATTTATTTTACACACTCTAATATTGCAAAATGGTTAACTCCAAAAATAGACAAAAACCCATCGTACACATGAAATGTCTTATTTATTTTTTTAGAATTATGGCTCTACATCATGTTGGCATTTTTGTAGCAAAATTTATGTAGGTGTTTTTATGGCACAATTTTGCTGACACAATTTGTGTATAGAAATTATTCATTTTTTTGTTCGCTATGTAATGTAATCATTTTGGTGTTTTTAATTTGTATATTAAGGTACTATTGTACACAGCTTCTTATAGGTCTTAACATAAAGTATTTTATAAAATTCAAAAATTTATCACCCTATATCTTTGATATGCTTTTCTCTTAACTTTATTTTAATAAAACGAAATTTGTATTCTTTAAAACACGATTTTTATAAATATTTTTAGATACAAAAAATAACAAAAAAAAAAAAAACTTATTAAAAAGTAAATAGATGAAAAATTTTTATAACATATTTTTGTAGTAACTGTAAATATTGATTCAGAACTTGACTCAAAGAAGGTAAGGATGATGTGTTTATTATCACAACCTTTTCATAAAGCCCCTTTAGTCACTCATTAAAAAAAATAATAAAATTTAAAAATTAATTTAATTTTTAAAGTAAAATAAAAACTTAATAAAACAAAACTCATTTTTTTTGGTGTAAAAAATTGAAAACAAAAAAAATATTAAAACAAATAAGAAGAAAAAAAAGAAGACGAAAAAAAAATTAAAAAATTAAAAATCTTAAAACAAGTACTGTAAACTATAATATAAATGTCAGGAAATAAGTAGATCGTTTAAACGATGAAATGCTTTTTAGGTCTTTAATATTTTTATTTTGGAAATGATTCCATATTGATGGACCACGGTTTGCAATTAGAAAACTTGACTGCTGTGATTTAATTTTCCCTAGGTGATAGTTGTACCTGGTATTTGAACGCAGATTATATTTTTCAGAAAATGATATCAAGAAATTATTTGAAAAAATCGCTTGGTTGAAGATTGTTTTTATACTTTCCTTTGTTTTTATATTTTCCCTAGGTGATAGTTGTACCTGGTATTTGAACGCAGATTATATTTTTCAGAAAATGATATCAATTAATTATTTGAAAAAATCGCTTGGTTGAAGATTGTTTTTATACTTACCTTTGTTTTTATATTTTCCCTAGGTGATAGTTGTACCTGGTATTTGAACGCAGATTATATTTTTCAGAAAATGATATCAAGAAATTATTTGAAAAAATCGCTTGGTTGAAGATTGTTTTTATACTTTCCTTTGTTTTTATATTTTCTCTAGGTGATAGTTGTACCTGGTATTTGAACGCAGATTATATTTTTCAGAAAATGATATCAAGAAATTATTTGAAAAAATCGCTTGTTTTTATACTTATACATAAAAATATTTGTAATGTGTTATAATTTTTAATATTTGTAAGTAATAGTTGTAATGTGTTTAATGTCTTATTATTTTTATCTAGAACCATCATGCTTTTCATCACTAGGGTCGGGTTTACTAACCTATTTAAGTAATTAATTGTTTTGCATGCATAGTTTTGCAGACTTTGTAGTTTTAGCAATTTGGTTTTATGGGTGCTGGGCCCTATAATCACTAAAAAAAATGTTTTCAGGACCGATAATTGTATTCTAAGCAACAATTTTAGCATTTGTTTTTAAAAGTTACGTTCTAAATTTTTAAACGTTTTTTAAACGCTTTTTAAACGTTCTTTACGTAAGAATGTTTAGAAGACGTTTAAAAGACATTTAAAATACATTAAGAATGTAACCTTTAAAAACAAATACCCGATTGGTAAACACCTGTTTCTTAAAAGAGATTTTAGTGGGATAGGGTGGGAGTTAAAATAAGGGGTTTTGCGAAACATGACTAAAAAACATTTTTAGTTAGGCCTTGAAAAAAAAGTCTTCGTTGGCCGGCTGCCAACTAAAGATTCGAATTTCCCGAGTCCAGTGTTTAAACTTGCCGACTAATTTTTGAAAAAAAAGGTTTCCGATACATGTTAGATACCCCTACAACTCCCTCAATTCGCGACGGGTTTGAATGCAGTTGATATAACTTAAAGATTAATTAAAAATTTAGTAAACAACTTCATCTGAAAAAAGTTGTCAAAATATAATGCTGATTAAATAATATTAAGCTTGTTTTTTTAATAAAAATTTACAAATGTTGTTAATAATTTACCGAATATTAAACAATTTACCGAATATTAAACATATTTTCAATAGTCTCTAGAGCTTGCTTTCTGAAAACACTTTTAGATTTAATATAGTAGCCTTGAATGTTTGATCTTTTATGCAGAAATGTCTTGTAATAATAAAAAAGCTTTCAAGTTGTTTCTCGAGAGAATTCCTCGCACGACAAATTAGTTGGTCAAACGTAAGCTAAATGCAATTAGTAATGTAAGGCCAACAAAACATTATAGTTGGCTACATATTTTTATTGGATTGAAATATAGTTTGTTGCTCATTTGGCGAACCTTGGCAAAGTGCATATTTCATCGTGTTAAGGTTTCTGTTAGTATAATTGTGTACCCAACAAATTCTAAATAGCTACCCAACAACTCATTGTTGAAAAAGTAAAATGCGGTTGGCAATGCCGGCTGCGGGGGTTTCTTCGATTGAAAAGTTAAAATTAATGTTTGCAAATAGAATGGCAGCTGAACAAGAAAAAAAGTCTTGAACCTTGAGAAGATCTAAGACTTGAATATATTCGAGTCTCAGATATTGAGAAAGTAAGATAAAATCATAATTAGATTGATTACTCTTAGAAAAATTGCGTGAAAGATAAGTTGAGAGACAAAAAATAAGTTGTAAAGTAATTTGGATTGTCTGGTAAATAGGTTTAAGAGTTCAATACCTAGATGTTGGTAGGATTAAGGACACGAGGAAGGATGCGTGGTAGGGTTTTAAAATTTACACTAGTTATAATTACAATTAAAAAAATTCCTGTCAGCATTGGTATTAATAGTATAACCATAACATAACATTTGACCATAACCTTGTTTAAGGCCGCTTTTGCTTGGGAACTTCGTGCTTTACTTTAATTACAATAAATGTGACATAATTACAAAAAATGTGACTCAAGGCCTAAGATTTTAGTAACACAAATCGGTTCAGTTAAAAAATTTGTCTTTTAAAAATCAGTAATGTTATCAATTTATAAAAACTTTAACAAAATGTTAGTTCAAAATAAATTTCGGATTCGATAATTTAGGCTAAATTAGCCTAGCGGGGAAATCTAACCTTGACTTGTTTCTCAAATTTCGTCGTAAAAAAATAATCCGATCTATTTAAAAATAGCAGATTAACAACAACAAAAAGTCAAAGGTTTTTTTGTAATATCTTCGGGTTGCCTATAAAGTTTTAAAAAGCTCTTTATTAGCATTTAAATTGCAAAAAAATAAAATTTACTTTAACTTTATTGAGTACACTATATTTTACTTCAACATACTATTTAATATTACAATTATATGATGCTTTGGTAATCAATTTCAAAAATGGTAATTTGGAGAAGTACTGGATCAGTTAAATACGGTGTTGGTACAAAACGTTTTATATAAGATTTATAGTTTATATTATTTATAAATTGTAATAAAGTTATAAAAAACTGTCTAATTATTGTAATTTTATGTTGGATTATTGATATAGTGTTTATTTTTATTAGCCATCTCTAAATTTGATGTTCATGGAGCATACTTTCTACAAATTGGTTTAGGAGAGGCAGTATTAATTGAGGAAGTGACAGATGACTGTGGTTGGTTTGAATAAGAAACCTTTTTATATATATGTATATAATAGTGTTATATAATGTATGATTAAATTAAATTGTAATAATAACATTTGCACTTATCTTAATAGAATGGTATCGTGGTTGTTTGTTTTTAAATCAAAACTACAAAGTTAGTGACGTTTGTTTTATCTTTGATTATTTTATTTATATAATTTAAAGTACTTTCATTTAAAATTTCTATTATATTTTATAGGCAGGTGATAAAAAAAACTTTACATTTACAGTTATAAGAAACTAATAATTATTAAATAATTTTTTTTTTAATTGATTTCATATAAGAAGTTTATAATTTTTTGAAGCACTAAAAAGTATAATTTATTGAAATATAAAATATTGGAGAAAGTTGTTACTCAAGGATGCAATATCCCAAAAGGACTTTGCATTTTAAAGTCATACAAAGGTTATTTCTTCCCGGTTTTTGGTATCTAGGAGCGCTATAAATGTAAAAAAGCTTAAGAAAAGCCTTAAAGCTATAACTTTAGTTATAGCTTTAAGGCTATAACTCTTAAAGTTAATAAAATTTTTTACAAAATACAGTGACGGGTCTGTCAACGTGTGTTGGAAAAACTATCAAAAGCAGCTTTTATGACTGAAGTTCAAAAATTTCCAGTATTATATGACAAATTTAATAAGGGTTTTAAAGACAGTTGTATAAAGAAAAATGCATGGGAATAAATTGGTCGTCATTCAAACTTATCTCCTAAATAAGCGAATAATAAAATATAAAAGCATTCAAAGTTGTTATGGAAGATGGCTGAATTAAAAAAATATATATTTCATCAGGTTTTGAAAAGAATTCAGTGCCACCTCAGTTCTTCACCTTGATTGGCTAAATTCTTTTATAGAACATCATGAAACAACAACTAATATTTGTTTGCCTTCTGACTCCAGATTAGAAACATCAAATTTGGAAGAAAATATTGACATGGTATGTGAATACTCATCATCCATTTAATAATGATCATATATCTGAAGATGTACTCATGGAAAACAGCTGTATAAATATTTGCAAGGAGTCAAGTGAATCAACAATTCACACAAATAAAAAAAGAAAAAAATTAGATTCTGATGAGTTACTTGATAATAGTCAAAGCATTGGAAAAAATTAACTTTAATATTGAAAATTGATAAAAAAAGTTTCCTTTCAAATAGCTTCATTTCTTCTATCAACAAGCTAAATGCACCTTGCTTGACACATTTTTTAAAAATTTTTCTTTGGCCCAAAACTGATGCTTTCTTTCTTTTATTTATGCTTTTTTGGCATTTTAAAATGAAAAGTATAACAAAAAGTCGATAATTCGGAGTAGCATAATTTTTAGTGGCGGCTCTTTTTTTTTTGCTTACAGTTGTATTTTATAACACATTACTGCACAACAAATCAAGCGTATGTTGAACAACTGTTGTATGATATTTCTACAACTATTGGAAACCAAAAGCATGTTTAGATAAACATATGCTTACTAGCTTTGTTCATTTTTATAGCATACTGTTTTTTCAGAAAAAGAAGAAAAAAAGTAAAAGAATAATGAAAGAAAAGATTGCTGCCCCATGCCAAATCCTCAGGCTATAACGTAGTTGATGTATGTACTGAGGCCACTGGCAGCAGGCTGTTTCAGTGTGACATCACAGAACTTATTTAAAAACACATTTATTGTTATATATATATATATATATATATATATATATATATATATATATATATATATATATATATATATATATATATATATATATATAAAATAACAGAACAGAGTAAAGTAATATATATATATATATATTATATATATTACTTTATTATTTTTCTGTTCTTTTAAGAACATTGAGCACTCTATTTTGTAGAATACATTTTAAAATTGTTTAAATATATATATATATATATATATATATATATATATATATATATATATATATATATATATATATATATATATATATATATATATATATATATATATATATATATATATATATTAAGTCTGTCATTTAACAAGTTTTAAAAAACTAATACCTTAAGGTAATATTAAATTTTTTTTAGTGTAAAAATATGCCTAAAGGTAAGCCAATAAGTGTAGAAAAAAAGGCAGCAATACTTTGCTTCAAAAAGACTATACAGTTAAAAAAATTGCTGAAAAGTTAAACTTTAGTAAATCAACAGTTAGTTATACAATTTGTTGATATCGAAAGTCTGGAAGTTTGGAAGACAGAAATCATCATGATCCTTTTCACATAACAAGAAAAACTGATGACTGACATATAAAAGTTATCAGTTAACGTAATCGAATGTTAATTTCTCCACAAATAACCGCTATTTTCAACTGTGATTGAGAAAAAAAAGTTCCTGTCAGTACAATCAGACAAAGATTGCAAAAAGCTAATTTGCATGATTGTGTTGCTATCCGAAAACCTTATCTACAAAAGATAATTGACAGAAGAGATTCTGTTGGGCACAGTTCTACAAAAATTGGACGATGGATGGACCAATGAGTCAAAGTTTGAAGTTTTTGGAAATAATCAAAGAGTTTATGTTAGTAGATCTGCTGAAGAAAAAATGGTAACTCAATGTCTGGTTCCAACAGTCAAACATGGTGGAGGCTCTGTGATAGTTTGGGTTTGTTTCTCTGTTGATTGAGTGGGAGATTTGCGTAAAATCAATGGATAATGAAAAAAGAACATTACAGAGATATCCTGGAAACAAGTGCAATCCCTTCGGAACATAGATTAATCGGAGATAATTTTATTCTGATGTATAGTAATGACCCTAAACATACTGCATTATTATGTAGAAATTATTTAGAATAAAAAAAAGTTGAAAATAACCTGGCCTACCCAAAGCCCAGACCTCACCCCATTGAGTTACTATGGGATGAACTGGATAGAAAAATCAGAACTGTATGTCCAGCATCAAAATCTCATTTATTGAAAATTATAGAACAGGAATGGAATAATGTTCAGAAAGAAACAATTTAAAAATTAATTGAAGAAATGCCGAGAATAGTTAAAGCAGCTATTAAATCAAAGGGTGGTTTTTTTGACGAAAAGAAAATTTAATTATTATAATGATTTTTATAAAGTTTTATTGCATAAAACTGACTAAAAATGCATTTTATATTGAAATAAATATAAAAAGTATAATTTTTGTTAATATAAATTAAAAGTTCTATAACGCAGTTACATAATAATATGGCATATATAATGTGTATATATATATATGCAATATTTCTTTCTTTAAGGTAATTCTCCATTACCTTAAAGAAAGAAATATTGCATATATACATCAATAGTCATTATGCTAAGTCAACACTATAGCAGGTGATGCTTTATAACCGCATAACCGCGGTTATAAAGCATCACCTGCTATAGTGTTGACTTAGCATAATGACTATTGATGTACCAATTAATCGCCATCAGTATCAGCTTAATTGACCACTTTTTGCACAATCAAAATCGGCATCAATCTTTTTTTATTAATTTACCAATTTTCCAACCAACAGCATTTTAATATTTTCATCCTGCATTATGATAATAGTTAAATAGTAAATAAACTAAACTTTATGCATTACTTATAATTTTTTTGAGAAATTGTTTATTTTGAATTTGTTTACAGACAAATTTGTTTATTCTTTAGATCATGTTTATAAGCTTGAATTTTTTAGCTGAATGTAATTATACTTGTATTACCATAATGTTGTTTTTAGAATTATTTTATTTTGTGTTGTTCTATTGTTACACTTAAAAGTAACCTATTTAAGCATTGTTGTCTATATGTGTATAGTCTTCCATATTTCTATATTTTTTTTGTGCCTCAATGTAACCGAATTTAAATAGAACAGGACTTTCAAATTTTTTATTTATCGAAGTTATTTAGAATCGAGTTTGAACTTTCTTTGAATCACTTATAGTCAAATTTTTAAGAATCAAATTTTTTAAATTAAGTTATTAAAACTTGTTTCATTCAAATAATATAGAATTACCATCTAGAACAAAATTCTAGAATTAAATCAGTTAAATAAATTAAAATTTTAATGTATGCAATAGTTTATTAAATAGTACATTAAATAATACATTAAATAAACACATTTATAAAATCTGATGCTGGTCCTCTGCATACTGGACAGTGATTAGTAGCACTACTTTGGATGGCTTTTGGAAAATTGTTGACAAGGTAAAAAAAAATGGAAAATTGTTGACAAGGTAAACTTTGCAGACATTTTTGATTGGTCTGTCCACCATAGCAGCTTGTCTATTTGATTGAGATTCTTCATCAACAGTTTGTTTCTAAAAAAATGTATAAATATAAAACATCTAACTAGTAGAATTCCTTGTCACTGCCCCATCAAATGGAGGTCGCCACCTGTCAACAACAACAACAACAAGCCCCTAACATAAATATAATGCAGTAAATACTTTTTGTTTATTGTTAAAAATTGTAATTAATTATCAACCTGTTCAATGTATTCTTGAACTTCCTAAGAGGAATAATGCAACTTCAAGAAATGTGGTTGCAGTCCATTCACCACTTGCAAGCTTTTCTTCATACCCGCAAAGATGCTCATGTTGCCTTTGACAGTCTTGACGCAGTTCTCTTCTAGGTTGGGAACCATTTTGAATCTGGAGCATTTCAATTTCCTTTGGATAGAAGATTTAAAATTAATATTTTAACAATAATTTTTTTCGATTGATTGCATTTTATCTGTACTATTTTATTGGTTGGTTAAATAATCACATAGTAGCAACGAACAAAATAAAAATTTTGTTCCATGCTACAAATATAATTTATTAATGCTAACATAAGCAGGTGCCTGTAGGTAATGAGCATGCAAAATATAAAGTTCCCATTTTAAAATCATACAGAATAGGATCTCAACTGCTACTAATAAATCAGATCTCTAAAATGCTATTATATAAATTTTTACATTTTATTGAAGGTTGTCCGAGAAATGCCAAAATCCAAGGTGTGGTGTCATTGAATGATTCATCTTGGAGTGTAAGGGTTCAGACACATTGTTAGTGCGATAATGCAGGCCATGAACAGAAAACATCTCAGGAGATTTTTGGAGCATTCAATACCTTTCGTTATATTTAATGAACTTTTTCATTTTTTTTTTAACA